AATCCATCTATCTATCTACAATACATACAATTAATTGTAGATTAAAAGGATTATAGGTACCCGTTCTACATAAATTAACACACCGTTTATTTTTACCAATTCTATGTTGAAATAGTATAAAATTTTCGATTAGTTTGGAAACATACATTCAAATAACGTCAATAAACCGTGTGTTTTTAAACAACATCACAAATTCCTTCCGTTTATAGACTAGTTTTCACTAATTTAAACGTTAAATATGTTCAGTTGTCACAAAATAAAACAAGAAGAAAAAATTCTCTTATGATATAATAATACACACAGTTTTAAACGTTGCCTTTTTATTTTCTATTGTTATTTAGCTGATAATTGTTATTTAGTATAGCAGTTATAATTATAATAACAATTTCTTGCTCACTCATGATTTTATTTTCTACAGATAAAATCAATAGAAATCATAACAACAAGAAATAATGGGATTATCAACGGCGTACCATGATACAGCTACAATAGCAGAAATAATATAAAGCAACTTCGTTCAAATCAACTTCTCGTAAGAAGATACAAATGTGTTTTTTTATGTTTATGTTTAAATATTTGTCGCATTACAATGTAATAAAATATATTAAACATCAACACACACTGTAATGATCCTTCCGCAGGTTCACCTACGGAAACCTTGTTACGACTTTTACTTCCTCTAAATGATCAAGTTTGGTCATCTTCCCAGACGCATCGACGACGCCGAAACGCCATCGCGCATCGGTCCGAAGACCTCACTAAATCATTCAATCGGTAGTAGCGACGGGCGGTGTGTACAAAGGGCAGGGACGTAATCAACGCGAGCTTATGACTCGCGCTTACTGGGAATTCCTCGTTCATGGGGAACAATTGCAAGCCCCAATCCCTAGCACGAAGGAGGTTCAGCGGGTTACCCGGGCCACTCGGCCAGGGAGGACACGCTGATTCCTTCAGTGTAGCGCGCGTGCGGCCCAGAACATCTAAGGGCATCACAGACCTGTTATTGCTCAATCTCGTGCGGCTAGAAGCCGCCTGTCCCTCTAAGAAGAATTGTTTGTACGCCGACAGTAAAAACCGCGCACGACCGAGCGCACGCAACACACGGTTATGACAACCGCGAATCACGCAACGACATCTAGCCGGCGGGCCTTTGGGATGTCAAAATACGCCTAGTTAGCAGGCTAGAGTCTCGTTCGTTATCGGAATTAACCAGACAAATCGCTCCACCAACTAAGAACGGCCATGCACCACCACCCACCGAATCAAGAAAGAGCTCTCAATCTGTCAATCCTTCCGGTGTCCGGGCCTGGTGAGGTTTCCCGTGTTGAGTCAAATTAAGCCGCAGGCTCCACTCCTGGTGGTGCCCTTCCGTCAATTCCTTTAAGTTTCAGCTTTGCAACCATACTTCCCCCGGAACCCAAAAGCTTTGGTTTCCCGGAAGCTGCCCGTCGAGTCATCGGAGGAACGTCGACGGATCGCTAGCTGGCATCGTTTATGGTTAGAACTAGGGCGGTATCTGATCGCCTTCGAACCTCTAACTTTCGTTCTTGATCAATGAAAGCGTTTTTGGCAAATGCTTTCGCTTCTGTCCGTCTTGCGACGATCCAAGAATTTCACCTCTAACGTCGCAATACGAATGCCCCCATCCGTTCCTATTAATCATTACCTCGGAGTTCCGAAAACCAACAAAATAGAACCGAGGTCCTATTCCATTATTCCATGCACACAGTATTCAGGCGAAATTTTAGCCTGCTTTAAGCACTCTAATTTGTTCAAAGTAAACGTGCCGGCCCACCTCGACACTCAATGAAGAGCACCGCGGCAGGATTGAGTTGGGTCCGCTCACACGCACGGAACGCCGCCGACCTCCGGATTGGATACCGAATGATCAAACGTGTCACAATACGCGGAACGAGAGCCCACCGGCAGGACGTCTCGCGACACGCCAGTTAACACCGCGGACGATGAACCGGCGGCGCGAGACACAAATTCGACTACGAGCTTTTTAACCGCAACAACTTTAATATACGCTATTGGAGCTGGAATTACCGCGGCTGCTGGCACCAGACTTGCCCTCCAATTGATCCTCGTTAAAGGGTTTAGAGTGTACTCATTCCGATTACGGGGCCTCGGATGAGTCCCGTATCGTTATTTTTCGTCACTACCTCCCCGTGCCGGGAGTGGGTAATTTGCGCGCCTGCTGCCTTCCTTGGATGTGGTAGCCGTTTCTCAGGCTCCCTCTCCGGAATCGAACCCTGATTCCCCGTTACCCGTTACAACCATGGTAGGCGCAGAACCTACCATCGACAGTTGATAAGGCAGACATTTGAAAGATGCGTCGCCGGTGCGAGGACCGTGCGATCAGCGTAAAGTTATTCAGAGTCACCAAAGTGTACGATAACGAGCCACAAAGTAACCCGCCACCGATTGGTTTTGATCTAATAAAAGCACTCCTTCCATCTCCGGTCGGAGCTCTGTTTGCATGTATTAGCTCTAGAATTACCACAGTTATCCAAGTAAGTGTGGGTACGATCTAAGGAACCATAACTGATTTAATGAGCCTTTCGCGGTTTCACCTTAATTTGGCTTGTACTGAGACATGCATGGCTTAATCTTTGAGACAAGCATATGACTACTGGCAGGATCAACCAGGGAGCTGTATTTTGTTTGAAATTTCATATATTTTCCTTTCCTTTAAATGGTCATTAATGAAGAATGAAAAAAAAGTTTTGTATTCTTTATTAATGTCGGTAATCGCGATACGAAGAATATATGTCTATATAAATCGACATATCTCTTTCATGTATATATGAAAATTACCAGGACTAATAATAAAAAAAAGTAACTCTTTTTACATATCACCATTCATTTTCTTAGAAAGGATTTAATGTTATTCAAACACATCTCACCTTAATAATAAATATTTGATTTATTATTGATGATGTGCAATAAGGATTTTGTGCGTGTTAATGATGCATTTCGTTAAACGGAAAAACCGAACGAATTGCCACGCTCTAAACATATTACAACAAAATCAAGTAATGCGATATTATAATTAAGAGTTAAGATGCATTATCTTTCTTTTCTCTCAATTTTCTTATCACTTTACTAGGATAATATCTGATTCAACTACACAATTCGCTAATTTTGAATATAATCATCGTCCTTCAAAAAATTCTTACCAAGTAAAGAACGATAATAACAAAATTTTATTCATTGTGCTAAACGCTGACAGATTTCAAATTTTTCGAACATTCTCTCGACCCTTCGCTAGATTGAAAGCGACATGGAAATCTCGAAAGTTCGTTTCGTAATCATTTTTCTATTGCCGTATATATTTTTGATATTTTTTTTAAATATATATATATCATTTGTAAACGGCAAAAAGAAAAACTTTCTCGCACGGAACGTAGAGAGTTATCGCATATAAATAAGACTGACATATGAGGCGATGTTAAATAACGAAACGAGAAAAAATTTCTAATCATATTTTTTTCTCATCATTCATCATCGCGGTTCAACGTACACGTCTCAAATTTTTGTATATATATATATGATTGCATTTGGATCATAACGTTTACATGATATTTTCAGTAAAAATCAGTAAACGCCACCGTATCCGCAATCCCGCTGTCGAAAAAAAAGCGTACATTACAATTCGCTACAACTGTTCGTTGAACAAAATCGTGTACGCCTTAAAAAATAAAAATTAGCAGCGATAATATGGACATCGTCGTTGCCCAAATTCTTCCATATAGAAGACCGAAAAACTTCAGCCGAATACTTATTAAAAATCGGCTTCCGTTTCTCTCAACATGTCCAACACTACTATATAACTGCATCGACATAGACCTATTGATTCCCTCGAGTTACCGTAAAAGTACTGATATACAGACTCATTTGTGTTAGTATGCTGAATCGGTTAGAAACCCGTTTTCATGTATTACGCTTACGTTCGACACTAGACCTGTTGTTTAGCTTGATTCCAAGAAAAAGCATTACTATAAAAATGGAAAATTTTTTAAATTTAATAAAATTTCTCTGTTAAAACAAATATCTTATTATTATTATTAATAATAATAATAATAATTTTTTTTTTTTTTCGACAACCTGGAAAGGGTCCCAACAGAGCTTAATCCTTCTAGTATCTTTGATACCTAGGATGAATGAAATTTCCCCTGAGAGGGAGTACGAAGACCGTTAATATTTATATATGTACAAATAACAAAACTCTATTAATAAAAACGTTGGGGTACTCAAAAATAGGGGTATCCAAATACTCACAGTAACAACTAATACTAAAACACAAAATAAGCTATACTGAAAGTTAACAATACTTACTTCTACAGGAGATTTTTATACACAATCACTAATCACAGAACCTGAACTTCTGACTGGGGTGGTAGTACTGGGATTGAACCCGAACCACTCGAATACACTTCCTAGAATGAACTACCCTTCAACGTTGAACTCGTACCCTTTTATTTTAAACGTTTAACCTCAATTCGGTTTGTTTGACGTAAATGGTTCGAATAAACTCTTCTTTGAACGTCTATAAAGAATGCTGACCAGAGTCGGTCATTATCTGTGACCTGAGGGTACCTTTGAACCCTCTATATACCCGAGAAATCTGCTTAGTGGTAGTCTGACCCACTTACTTGTTTTGACTCCGGTGGTTCGGTGGTACCTCCGGTGACCCCGCCGTTAGGGTTTATCGTAACAATATTTAGAAGAATTCCCGTGGAATATGATAATAATAATAATAATAATAATAATAATAATAGTTTTTTTTGTTTTATTTGAATTTCTTTTGAAAAACTTGATGGTTCTTAGAAGAACCGATTCATTTGATATATGCATTTGCGATGCAAGCAGAAGACAAAACATTCCTCCTCCTTCCTTCCTATTCTTTATCAGTCAATACAATTTACATTGGATCAATTTCATTTTCTTCTTATTCAATTCAATGTTATATAAAGAAAATAACAATGAATTTAAAATTATTTAACCGTTTTCTTTTTAGGTGATGTCGATGATACCGATGTAGTTTTTTTAGCCTTTGATGAAACTGATGTTCCTGGCGATTTTGCTGTTTTAGGTTTCGGTGCCTTTGGTTTTTTCGTTGGTCCAGGTTTATTCGATTTTTTTGCTTTTGAAGTTGCTTTTATTTTAGTAGGCGATGAAGGAATTGAAGTCATTGAGCCACCACCGATACCACCTGATTGTCTACTAATTTTCTTTTCGGCTGCAGTTTTTCTACTTCTATTTTTATCAGCGGTTGTTATTATTATTGCTGATCGTTTTGATGATGTAGACACAGCGGACGCTGCTCCCGCCCCCGCCGCCGCACCTGCTACCTTTGAAGTTGATGTTGATTTTTTCGTAGATTTTGCCTTACTACCAGCTGTAGTAGAACCTTTTAGTGAAGCAGTTGGTGCACTTGATCTTTTAATTTTCGATGCTGGTTTCTTTTTCTTATCACCAGCTGTAATTTTCCGTTTCGATTTTACATTTGAACCGCTATTAGAAGTTGCTCCTCCGGCCGATGCTGATGCTGCAGCAGCTGCTGATAATTTAAATGAACCTGATGCGCCTTTACCCTTGGTTTGAACAAGAGCACCCGAAATAACCGCAGATTTCAGATACTTCTTTATAAATGGTGCTACTTTTTCAGCATCCACTTTATAATTGGCTGCTATATATTTTTTTATCGCTTGAACTGACGATCCACCTCGTTCTTTCAATCCCTTAATAGCGTTATTAACCATTTCGGATGTTGGAGGATGTGTAGGTTTCGATCGAGGATTCTTCTTTTTTTCTGTTTTTTTATTTGGAGATGAAGATGACGACGACGAAGTTGTCACTAATACCGTTGACGAATTAGTTTGTTGATTTGCGGCAATAGCAGCCGCTGATGTTTCCGAATCGGTCATGTCTCGTTATGTTATAACTTAATGAAACAATCACTTAAAATGATAACACTACCGTAATAATAACAGAAGTGACAAAATTTAGATTTTACTGACTGAAAGTTGTTATAAAAAATTTGAAATATTTCGCGAATTAAACAGAAATAAGACAACATATAATGCTTATATGTGTTTAAAATTCGAAACAAAATTTTTGTAGACCCCAACTCAACACGGACCGACGGAGGACTGAACGTTCTGTTTTATACATCTTCCCATTATCAACTAAGTCCTTTACACCTTTCATATGTTGGGAGCTTGTTATTCAAACAAGTATTTCTTAAATAATTTCATATTTTTCTTGATTTGTTAGTATTCCGTTTTCATTTGCATAGTATATACTTTATCTGAAAATGAGTAATAATTTATATGCTAAGTCTCTAACGTTAAAAAATGATATAGTTCGAAAACGATACCGAACTTTCAACAGAAACATTTTCCTTTTAATATCATATAAATTGTACATCATTATGTATTTATTTACCAAATTTCAATGAATTAAAATTACAAATATACTTAAACCATATACGATATCGTTATGTGGACCTTATGAACTAAAGCGGAGAAATTTGAAAATTTTCATGTCCATGTCACCATAATAACAGCATTTCGAACAGGTCGACACAACCAAAATTGATCATTCTTTCTCTTCTTAAAACAATAAAAATATAATTATAATGATAAAAAATAAAATCATACATCTATATGAATGATGCATTAATATTTTACTTAAAAAAAAAAACCATAATAATTATAAAATAGTGGCTAAATTATACAATGAAAGCAAGAAATTTATGCATGGTTACATGAGCTTCAAAATATTTATATCTTTTTTATTGTTATATTCAATTTAATATATAAAATATCATCCATTTCTAGAAAAACCATAAAAAGTGAAATACATATATTGAAGTATTCATTTAGATGAACGTAATATATTGTAAATATGTGTGAGAAGAATGAAACCAAAATCATACATGTATATTTAAAAGATTTAAACCAACCATTAAAATAAATATTTTTCAATAACTTGGCTCGATTTATTTTTACCAATTAATCTATTATTATAAAATAATTAAACATAGTTAAATTCATTCGTTCAAAAAAAAAAAAAAAAAAAAAAAAAAAAAATTAATTTAAAAAATATAATTTTAATTAATTATAATTGTTTGTCCGGTAATATTTTTTGTATTCAAAAAAAAAAAATAAAATAAATAAATAATAAAAATAATAATAATACAAATAAGGAATTATTCGTCTGTGGTCTTTTGAATTTCTTTAAAACTGTATTATTGGTGGTTCTTAGAAGAACCGTTTTTTTTTTATATATATTTTATTAAATTGTCAATCGAGATAAATAGAATTTAACCACCAAAACCGTATAAGGTACGACCCTGACGTTTTAAAGCGTATACGACATCCATAGCCGTTACAGTTTTTCTCTTTGCATGTTCAGTATACGTTACAGCATCTCGAATAACGTTTTCCAAAAATACTTTTAATACTCCACGGGTCTCTTCATAGATTAAACCGGATATACGTTTGACACCACCACGTCGAGCCAATCTTCTAATGGCCGGTTTAGTAATACCCTGGATATTATCACGAAGTACTTTACGATGTCGTTTTGCACCCCCTTTACCCAATCCTTTTCCTCCTTTACCTCTGCCAGTCATTTTTTTTTATTTGAGTTTTTAATGATATACGGTTTATTACAAAGCACAAAAATTGCAACCTACAACAGCTCGAACACAAACAAACTGATAAAATTTTTCATTCTCCAAATGCTTTTATAACCTAAATTAAGCCCCGCCCCAATATGTTAGGACTGAACCAATAGTAATGCAAGACAAATCTTATTAAAACGGTTACTAAAAGACCCCCTAAAGTTAGTTGTCTATGTTCTGTCGTAGTGTTGACATTGTTCATATCGTGTTTACCTTTCTTTTCTTGTTTTTCTTTTAATAATAAAAAAAACATGGCTCGTACTAAGCAAACTGCCCGTAAATCAACTGGTGGTAAAGCACCTAGAAAACAATTGGCCACCAAGGCAGCCCGTAAAAGTGCTCCAGCAACGGGAGGTGTGAAAAAACCTCATCGTTACAGACCAGGAACTGTAGCATTACGTGAAATTCGTCGGTATCAGAAGAGTACTGAACTGCTTATCAGAAAATTACCATTTCAGAGATTGGTAAGAGAAATTGCCCAAGATTTCAAAACTGATCTTCGTTTTCAAAGTTCAGCTGTAATGGCTCTTCAAGAAGCCAGCGAGGCATATTTAGTTGGTTTGTTTGAAGATACAAATTTGTGTGCCATCCATGCAAAACGCGTCACAATTATGCCTAAAGATATTCAATTGGCGCGACGAATTAGAGGAGAACGTGCCTAAATCATCATCAGTTACATAATACTGATAATTAAATTAAAAATGAAAACGGTTCTTTTAAGAACCACAAATATATTTATATATATAGAAATTCATTAATATTTTTATCACTTCTTTGGAAAATGTAAAAGAATTTCTATAAAATAATTCAATATTAAATTAATAAAGATTTGCGGGATTTATTCTAGAAAGTTTTCTGAACAAATTGTATAATTTTTTTAATTATTACAATATAAATAATGATACCCATTACATATACGATCATATACATATAGGTATATATTTGTTTATATACATATAAGGATAAATATATAATACAAAAACGAATGGGTTAAATTACATATTATATCAACTTTAAATACAGGAAATGGCGGCGAATAGAAACAATAATTCAATAAACAAACAAAATTTATTTATTTTGTATTAATAATATCTATACTCATTAATCTTTTACATTTAAACACCCGCCGTCTTGTTATTCAATGAAGTAGTTTTGAATAATTGTTATTTTTTTTATCAAGTCATTTCTTAAATGAATTTCATTTAATGTAAGTCTATTTGTGGCCCTGAAAAGAGCCGTTTTATTTTTTTTTTTATATATATATATAAAATATTACTAGCTCAATTACTTTGAACTAGTATATTTGGTAACCGCTTTTGTTCCTTCACTAACAGCATGTTTTGCCAATTCACCAGGCAATAATAATCTTACAGCAGTTTGAATTTCTCTGCTGGTTATTGTCGATCTTTTATTGTAATGAGCAAGACGAGAAGCCTCAGCGGCAATCCGTTCGAAAATGTCATTTACAAAGGAATTCATTATCGACATGGCTTTACTTGAAATTCCAGTATCAGGATGAACTTGTTTCAACACTTTATAAATGTAAATAGCATAACTTTCTTTCCTCCTGCGTTTCTTCTTCTTATCACTTTTCGAAATATTTTTTTGAGCCTTTCCGGCTTTTTTCGCAGCTTTTCCACTAGTTTTTGGCGGCATACTTAATTGTTTTTTTTTTTTTTTTTTTGTACAAACCACACAACAACGACGTTAACGCACCGAAAGACCTAGACAAACTAACAATTTTTGGAGGGGAGCATTCATTTAAAATCTTCACCAGCACAATATGTCAAATAACAAGCTCCGCCTCCGACAGAAAATTGAGACGAGGATTCTGATTGGTTCATAATTTTCTATAAAAAAGAAGTGAAAATGAAATGTTTAGTCAGTTCTAGTTGAACGTTCAGAGTGTTAGGTGCTCTTCATTTTTTCTCTCGTATACATTTAAAGTGATAATTAATTGAAATTTTCAATATGTCCGGCCGTGGTAAAGGAGGAAAAGTCAAAGGAAAGGCAAAGAGTCGATCTAGTCGTGCTGGACTCCAATTTCCAGTTGGTCGTATACATAGATTGTTGCGAAAAGGCAACTATGCAGAAAGAGTAGGTGCCGGTGCTCCTGTTTATTTGGCTGCTGTCATGGAATATTTGGCCGCTGAAGTTTTAGAATTAGCAGGAAATGCTGCTAGAGACAACAAGAAAACGAGAATTATTCCGAGACATCTTCAGTTGGCTATTCGAAACGATGAAGAATTAAACAAACTTTTGTCTGGAGTGACGATTGCTCAAGGTGGTGTATTGCCCAACATTCAGGCAGTACTACTTCCAAAGAAAACTGACAGTAAAACAAAGTAATATGTATATGTTCTGGCACACATACACACAAACAAACAAATACATACATACACATACCCATATACATACATATATGTATACACACATATATATTGTATATACATACATACATACACACACACACACACACACATCTTTATCCAAAGAAAAGAAAACAGACAACGGTCCTTTTAAGGACCATAATATTTATAAACATAAAGAAATTCACTATAATGCTTTGTAATTATTTAATTGAAATATTATTAATAAACATTAATCATTATCAATATTTCTATTCTGCAATTACTTACATGCATTTATACTTTTATATATTATTTGCTACCCTTTTTCATTATTGATTACTCAAGCTTTGTCTCTCACTCATAATATGAGAGACAATAAATATTATTTGTTAATCAGTATATGTATTATTAAATCAAATATATTCGAAATAAGATGATACCCATTTCCAAATTTTGTATACATATATAGATTCCTTTTTTTATTTTCAAAAAGCATTGCTGATTTTTTTATACATTTTTTTTTGTTACATTAAAATTTGACGTTATATTGTTATATGATTATTTTAGTCTTTCGAACTGCAATCCCTCATGCGGGAGGCTTCATTTTTTTAGCGCTCGATCATGATTGATAGATAAATGTTGCAATTTTTTAAAATTATTCTTGTTCCTCTAAAATTTTGCCCGATGTGAATTGATAGTATAATACATATACATACATATAGAGTATCGTTTGCCTATAGTAGAAGGGTTCTCTATTAGCTGTATAAGAATTTTAAAATGATCAAGTTAAAAAGAGTCAAAAATTGTCGTTTTTATCAATTTTAAGAGTCGATTTTTTATAAGCGACTCTTAAATGAAGGAAGCAGCGGTTATTATATATACAGGGTGAGTCAGAATTATGGGATCAAACTTCAAGGGAGTATTCAGGGCATCAATTGAAGATATTTGAGTATAAGAACCCATGTCCGGAAATGTCTCCCTAAGGCGCTACAGCCCTATGATGCTTTAAGACAGTTATGTGCAAATATGTGTTTTATCAAGTTTTAATGCATTTTATTTTTTGTTTTTGTACATAATATTACAATAATTGTTCAAAATGTTGTCCTTGAACTTGAATGCACCTGTTTAAACGGCGTACATGGTTTTGCATTTTTGTACGGCATTTGAGGTTGTTCAAAACGATAATCAAATTTTTAGCCAAATCCGCAGAAACCATGTACGCCGTTTAAACAGGTGCATTCAAGTTCAAGGACAACATTGTGAACAATTATTGTAATATTATGTACAAAAACAAAAAATAAAATGCATTAAAACTTGATAAAACACATATTTGCACATAACTGTCTTAAAGCGTCATAGGGCCGTAGCGCCTTAGGGAGACATTTCCGGACATGGGTTCTTATACTCAAATCTCTTCAATTGATGCCCTGAATACTCCCTTGAAATTTGATCTCATAATTCTGACTCACCCTGTATATATATATATATATATATATATATATATATATATATATATATATATATATAAATCTATTGAAATGTTAACAAAAAAAAAACATTTTTTTAACTAGTTAACCTTAAATATATTAAAATCATTTTCTTATTATAACTTGTTTTTTTGCTTACTTTCTGTAGTGTATTTTATTACTGAACATAATCTTCTGAATATCTTAAATTTTTAATAGGAAAGATTTTTTTGATTTCAACTAACATGTATTATTAATTTTTTGATTAGGTATAGTAAATATTAGTGAATTGATTGTATTTAATAATCGCAATAAACTAATTAAATGAATATAAAGCAAGTGATAAAAAAGGCAAAATTCGAGAGAGTGAAATATTTTCGTCTATCTCAAATTTTGCCAATCTTATATGTTATAATTTCTTCATATTTTGTATATCTAAATATAAATTATAAACAATTACAATTTAGGTACTGTTCATAGTTTATTCTGTCTAAAAAAAAAGTTATAAAAAAGGCGAACACCAAAAGAGATTATTATTATTATCTAGATGATAATAATATCCCTTCTGGCATTCGCCAATTTTTTTTTTTTCCTTTTTTTCTTATTTCTTTTTTCTTTTTAATCAAAACGGGGTCTCGTCTCACCGACAAGACGAATCCCCAAGCTAAGGGCTGAGTCTCAACAGATCGCAGCGTGGAAACTGCTCTACCGAGTACAACACCCTGCCAGGTACGTAAGTCGTCTACAGACAATTCCGAGTTCCAACATCGAAATATTACCCATGATTGATCGCCAAGTGGTCTGGTTGAACATAGCAAGGATCGTTCCCGCCGCCAACCGAATAACCACACACGACAACAAGGGCCCGTGCGACGACCGGCGCGTACACCGATCGCCTAATAAAGTCACATTGTTTTGAGCCTTTCGACTCTAGGAACTCCAAGAGATATCGTTGCCACCTTTGACTAGAAAGGATACGGCCTTAGAGGCGTTCAGGCATAAACCAACGGATGGTAGCTTCGCACCATAGCCCGCTCGAGCTAGTGCGTGAACCAAATGTCCGAACCTGCGGTTCCTCTCGTACTGAGCAGGATTACTATCGCAACGACGAGTCATCAGTAGGGTAAAACTAACCTGTCTCACGACGGTCTAAACCCAGCTCACGTTCCCTATTGACGGGTGAACAATCCGACGCTTGGCGAATTCTGCTTCGCAATGATAGGAAGAGCCGACATCGAAGGATCAACAAGCGACGTCGCTATGAACGCTTGGCCGCCACAAGCCAGTTATCCCTATGGTAACTTTTCTGACACCTCTTGCTGAAAACTCTTCAAGCCAAAAGGATCGATAGGCCGTGCTTTCGCAGTCCCTATGCGTACTGAACATCGGGATCAAGCCAGCTTTTGCCCTTTTGCTCTACGCGAGGTTTCTGTCCTCGCTGAGCTGGCCTTAGGACACCTGCGTTATTCTTTGACAGATGTACCGCCCCAGTCAAACTCCCCGCCTGGCAGTGTCCTCGAATCAGATCACACGGGAGCATAAAACGGCACCCGGAGAGACCGCGCAAACAAACGTCAAAGGAACACATACGAGCCACAAGGCATACAACCGAAATTGCACACCCGCAACAACGCAGCCGACCATCGACGCAGGCTCGGTTTCCGAATAGCCACTCTGCGTGCTTGGTTCGAGAATACCGTGACAGCCGCCGCCACTAGAGCGAACGGCGCACGCGTTCTGCCTAACCGAGTAAGTAAAGAAACGATGAAAGTAGTGGTATTTCACCGGCGATGTTGCCATCTCCCACTTATGCTACACCTCTCATGTCTCCTTACAGTGCCAGACTAGAGTCAAGCTCAATAGGGTCTTCTTTCCCCGCTAATTTTTTCCAAGCCCGTTCCCTGGCAGTGGTTTCGCTAGATAGTGGGTAGGGACATTAACTGAAAGGGACACTCACGTGCCCGGCCACCCACCTTTCGGCTTTAGCCTCCAAAACAGACCACCCCCCATCCAGCAAAACCACCGCCGAGGGAACCCATCCCAACTCCGCACTCCAAAAATGAGCGGAGAAAGAAGACCACGAACCCCATTTATTCCCCAGTAGAACAAAGATACAGTAATAAACACAACAATATAATGAATCGAAAATATACAAAATACATCAATGACAATAATTAAATTAACACTAACATTACATGAATCGGCCTTGCACTACGGACCAGAAGAGGAGGACACCCCAACGGCCACCACGACTCCCCACAGGTAAGATTAAGGACCGCCGCCGCGCGCCAATCGCCACTCCTCACATTCCAGGGCCTCCTCTGCCCACTCGTTCACTTCACTCACATCCGCCACTCTCACACCTCTCTCATCCCTCAACGCTATTTCATTCCATACCACTCCTCTCTCTATCATTCTTTCTCTGACATTCACTCTATTTCTTTAATACATACCTCTCTCACATGCTCCATATCTTCCACACCCAAACCACATTCACACTCTCCCGTTGCCTCACCCGCCAGTCCAAAACGCCTTAAGTACCATCGCACATTGCCGTGTCCTGTGCACATCTGCACGGCTTTGAAAGACAACGGATCCTCTCCCAACCTACTCTTTTGCACACTGCATACAACGCTCTCCCTTTATCAGATCCATCCCATTCGCTCTGCCATTTCTCAATCACATCCTCTCTTATTCTCATTTTCCACTTTTTCCTCTCCCATAATCTCACCACATCCACTTCCTCATCGTTGTTTACTCTCTCCCCTTGTCATTCTCGCAATTTCATCCGCTCTTTTTATTAACTCTTCACTCCGTTTCTGCCACTCCAGTTTCACATTCATTTCCTTCTTCTTCATACTCCACACATCACAAATTATCGCATTCACACTCTTGTGGCAACTCCAGCCCCTGGTGAGCATGTCCACCACCACCCTACTATCGGTGTAAATGGCGAACAATCCCCTCACGTTTTTTGCCTTTATGGAGCTGAGAGCTGCCTGAATCGCACTTATTTCTACCTGTATACTTCCTCCCACACCCGTCACTCTCACACCCTTTGTCCACACACATCTCTTCCCGTACACACCATACCTACACTCATGTCCATCCCGCTTTTTGATCCATCCACCCAGTACTCCTCACTCCACTCTCCACACTCCTCATCATTCAACCACACTGACCCTCTCCACGGAGGGTACAGCATTTCACTTTCGTTCGTTCTCCACTCATTCACTTCCCTAATCCTCGCTCTCCATTCGTACCGCACCGCAGCAAGGACGTGGAGTGGTGGCGTGCCGTTAAGGACCTGGAAGGCCCCGGATGGGACCGTCCGATAGCCCCGGCCCACCAAAACCCCAAAAATCCTCTGTGCTGCTTCCAGGTGCCTTCTCACTCTCGTATCCCTCCACTTACATCCCCACACTTCACATCCATACATCAATGCCGGTGCGATCACTCCAACATATACTCCCTTAGACCTATCCTTGTTCACTCGTCCACCATTTCTCACTAACACGCCTATTTTGGTCAC